AATTACGTGATGATTTATGCATCTGTAACACACACAGATTTGGAATGTTAACTTTCTTCATGATATTCATGTCACTAGTGTGATACATGCAAAATCCTTTTCTTCTCAATTAAAACTGAACTGAAACAACTATACGACCTACATTATTGATAGCGTAACACTGACTGTTACCAAGAATGATGGATGAGTGAGGGCTTATCGTTTTGTGGATAATAAGTGTATTGATATGTTATCGTACACTTGCAATGTAACACTGCGGCAACACCAGGGTACCGATAAGTATCGTATGACAGCGGAATCGTTACAGACTGTATTGATGTGTCTAATTCTAAGCTGTAGATTGAGACAATAGCCCTATTCGTTGCAAGTAATCATCATCATGGTTTCGTTCTCAGAGGTCAGGGTTGTGTAAGTGCAGTTGATACTTCACGCACCCGTATGCATCAAATTGTTGCTTGTTACTGGTGTTTACCGCTACATAATTCTTCTCTGACCTGTCACATATGATGTGTTTCTGTTTTATTAGTTTATCTTTGTTTTTGCTCCAAAGCTGCTGTTGTCATTACAGGCTTTGAAACAAAATTGATTCACCTGAGCATAAGTTGTTTTCCGTTTTTTCCAGGTGTTATTTGCTTCAAATGAATTTCTAGAAGAAAAAAATCCACTACAAGTTGACTTATCTAAAACTTGCAGACACTGAGTTTTCGTATATCCTCGTCTGCCACATCGTTCCTGAAGCGTTTCACTGTATGAACCTGTGAAACATCTAAGGGGTGTGCACCTTTTTAAGCAACGGTGAATGTTACCTCATATGACAGATGACTGTTGGGATTTCAGGCTTCAGAATATTTAAACTAATTCTCGTGTATCCCAAGCCACAAATTTGTATAATTTAACCAAGTGACATTTGGAAAGTGAATGACGGTTTCTTCTTCCGTGTTTGAAACAAGTACTGAACATTCATTATCCAATTAGCTGTCGTCATTCTTACTCGTGACATCAACTTAATACTGGACACCTTAGTGTGTAAGCGAATGAGGTGTGTAAAATAATTTCTGATGCTAAGAAGAGTTAATTGAAGGAAAGCCAAGTCAAATCAAAGCATAACTTCACAAACTAATTCAATGTGCATCTGAAAAAAGGATGAGACTTGAAATAGCAACACTCTTCTCTCATAAAAGCGAAATGGAGTAAGTTTACCAGATAAAACATCCAGAAATATTGATTCATCTTTGTGGTTTTGGAAGTGTTAGTTTTAATTCCTCTTCAACTTGTTGTTAAAATGTCAAGAAACCAATTATCTTTATTTGAGAGAAGAGATTTTATTTTGCAAGTACAGTAATGCTACGCAATCTATGGAGAAAGCATTATCAAAAAGGTAGCAGGAATTTCCTCAAATCGATAAATATTACCATGAATGGCAGTAATTTCTTCTCCCAGTCATGTTCGACTTTATACACCTTTAAAATTAGTCCTGAAATATATGTTAACCTGATCATTACAGTTTCGTTTCATCAGTTAGAATACAGAATCGTCTCATTAACTGAAGGCTAGGCTTTTGTGACGTATATTTGCCTGCATTTATACTAATTATACTATGAATCACTTCGTATGAAATTATAAAATTAACATAATTTGCATAAATTCTCATGTTTCTACACTGAAGATTCACGTAAGTAAACATATAACTTAGTCGGATATGTATTTCTCATGATTCTTATGGGTACATGAATTATACAAGACGATTTTAGTACCACAGTATATGAAATCAAGGGTTACGACTGATGTGTGTAGATGTAATTCCAGTGAACCGTTAAACCGTCTAATGATAAACTTGAAAGCGATGTATGTGTCAGCAGTTTTTTTGCAATTTTCAATTAAAAAAATAATCAAATTGTTGGAAATTGTATTTTCATGACAGTCAAAGACAGTAAGTTCACCTGTGGAAATACTGATAATTAAATATGGATATAATTTGTTCTTTTCATTTTTCAGATAACAACTGTGTTCTCGAACAGTATGATTTCTAATTCCAATCAAACAGATCCATTCCCAGGATTATTAATCAGCAGAATTCTTAGCTACCTCTCATAGAAAATAAAGTATTGAAAATTACCTCTCAATATTTCTGAACATATGATGCAGTAAATCGTCGGTGCAAACCTATCTATAATAAAGTTTCGATATCTGATATCAAGCAGACTTATGTTTATTATCTGCTGCACCAACTATTGAAACCAATAGTGAAACATCTTATATCACATTACCGAAATCTTACATGAAATTGACGATATCATTTATCAAGATCAAGAGACAACCTCAAACATTAATTAACGAAACCCAGCCATATGGCGTCATCAAAATCCTCGAAGGCTATATAAATGACAGTGAAACTGGCAGGAGACAACACGGGAAGAAGACGCATCATGGATCGCGGAGCAAAATGAAGTAGAACGAAGAAGTGCTCACAGGCTTTCGCTCACTCATTTATTTGGTGATTGAAAGTATCTCGTGCCAGCTTAAGTGCGTACCAACAAAGAAATGGGTTCCATCAGATGGACACACCGAAATTCAGTTGCACTTTGTCGCAATGTTGCTCAGAAAAATGGTGACGCAGCATGTTGGACACCAAAGTCAAAGATGTGATCAGATATGGGCTGATATTATTGTCAAATGCAAGGAACCTTCAAACTCGAGGTGAAAAACTTCAAATAAGCTGGACCAAATTTTGAGGCTGATACAATGGAACCGATGGTGAAAGTCAAGAAGAGCACATACTCTGCAGCCACAAAGCAAAGTCGTAGGTGTTGTGTGGCATCACTGATGCACCCTAAGGAAATCTGTTAAACAGCAAGTAAAAAGAACCTCAGATGACTACACTAGATAACAAATTCGCTATCGAAGAAGACGTAAACTACGGTACTAGGACAGTGAAGGGAACAGAATTACCCAAGAAGGTTGAGACTAAGGTAACAATGTGCTCACAGTCTCAAAGGACTCCTGGACCAGCCACCATCAACAACTCCTCCGAGATTACTACCGGTGGAAGGAACAGAAATAACCAATGCAAACCATCCGCAGAAAAAGATAAATATCCTGAGTGCCTTACAGCTGCAAAATACTGAATAGCAGTAGGAGCCAAATAATATTCATCTGGAAGCACTTAAAGGTGAGCCAGAGATCTGAGCGGATATCCTCATGTCACAATGAAGGGATTTTGGAAGAGAGGAAAGGAAAGTATCTACTCATTTGAAGAAAGAGGACCCTGTGAGAATACCAAAGAAGGGCGGCTTTAGCTTCTCTAACTTCTGGCGCGTGACGATGCTGCTGTTCAGATCGAGCAAAGGATTAACCACGTCGTACTGGACATACTGAAAGATCACCTGAAAGTAAAGCTGCACTTGGGACAACGTGGTCTCATAAAAAGCTATTCGTAAGCAGACTCCAATGCACTTCGCGTCACCATAGAACAGGGAACAGAATGGCAGTAAAATATACATCTCAAAACCCTTGACTTCGAAAAAGTCATTAACGATGTTGACTATGAGGTTGTTTTAAAATTTCCCTAACACCTTGAAGTAGAATGATGGCAACATTTACAAGTCTCATTCACAGGCCAAAATAAGCTGCTAAATGTCAAGTGATTCAGAAAGTAAAACTCAGATTTAAATCTGTGAACTGTTTGTGTTTAATCCACCAAGGTCTCGGAGATTAACAGACGAAAATCTACAGCGTTGAAGAAGAGGCATTCCGAGAGAACATCAAGAAGATAGCACTAATTAGCATTAACGCCAGAAATTTGAAATTTATCCACTTCATTCACTGTTGAGTCGCAGTTTTCATAGTATCTTGACCCTGCGGCAATGTTTGTGACGTCCATTTTGTTTCCTACGGAGAATCTGATCTTACTTAATTTTGCTGCATATAATATTAGCACAAGCACGGAGATTAGAAAATTTATCCAGCCGCGTTTATTTGAATGCTGTGTGTTTAAGGCAAATGCAAAATTCAAAGATAAGTTCACCAAGCAATTCTACTTCCTTGGATGTATTAAACAATTTAGATCTCTTCACCGCACATGATGAATAACGTTAAGGTGTTAGTGAAGGCTGTAATTCAACCGTAATGATTAATTTGCTGGTTGTGCGTCTGGAAATGTTAGCAAATCACCTAATTGGATAGATAACAATTTGAAAACAAAACACGTAGTTAGACCAAGAGGCTCTTTTCGGTGAAATCATTCTCCGCGTTAGCTGTAAAATCGTATTTATATACATTTTTTCTCATTAAATGGCATTAGCAAGAAAGATGAGTTGTCACAAAATTAGGTGTCGACATTTGTCTATGCATATGAGGAGTTGAATTCGTGTATCATGGTCACGTAATAACATAAATTATTTAATAATGGTGCACATAGAAACCAAGGAAAATACCGAGTAACTTAAGAGTTCCGAAGACATACGAGAGTTATACAGAGATAGAAATTCGAACAAATCAAAATCCAGTCCGCACAAATTAACAAAATTTTAACCATGATATTAAATATGATTGAATAAGTTCGTTTTGTACACATATCTCTGGTTTGCCTAAATGAATCGTTAAGGCTTCAGCACTGCGAAGGAGAAGACAGTGTATCGCCCTTGATTGGTTGTTCTTCACTTCACAGATTACTTTGAAGGAGGCAATTGTTGAGATGGAATGGTTGGTGCTCGCTAGATGCTCGATTATCGCGATCCTTAAGGGAGAACTACTACATATATGCAACCATGAGCGGGATAGTGTTCTTGAACGTTTCCAGTCAGGATATGCATCGAACTGCTAATGCACCTGGCACCAAAAGAGTAGATGAAATGATGTATGCACACACAACATAACGATTTAACGAGGAGCATTTGAATTTTTATACACATTATCACTGCCTGCCAATACTAGTTATTCGATGTGTGAAGCAACAAAGCTGATTGTAAATTTCCTTCTAATTGTTTGACGATTTATTTCAGTAACAACATAGAAGCTCATCCAGTCAACGGTCCAGGTTTCTGCCCAACTAAAATTTTGAGAACATGAACAAACTGGAGAAAGTGAATGAAGATTGCTACTTACCTTTTTGTGTATCAAAGTTTTATTGATTTCTATTTTATTAAAATGAAATTTCAAAACATTTTTATTATTAAAAGAAATACACTCTTTTGAAAGAAGTAACTTATGGCTGTCTGATTGAGTGCAGGCTTTGTGAGTTTGCTTTTTGCATTAAAATGAACCTTAGCTCAGCACAGCATTTGTTGGTCGGCGCTGTATGAACACATTTCGTCCAACAGTGTATAACAGTGTATAACTCACAGCTTCAATGTCACATCTTCGTTCGGTTGCCTGTCATTTGTTCCAGCTAGTTCCACCACGAACAAAAAGCTTTTATTTAGTAATAATAATGATAACAATAATAGCTAGTTCTTGTTCTGCCTGAGGAGATGCAAGCTGAAAGCTGAGGGTGAATTGGATGCTCCAAGTCAGACGAAATCCCCTTAGCAAATTTACTGCACGAAGTCAAATGCCTATCGACAACGACCTTAACTATGTAGTCCACTGGGACACCCCTCACCCTAATGACCGTCTTCAGCATTCTACGAAATGTGACATAGGCCTTTCCAAGTAAACCAGGAAAGAATAAGGGTGAACAATAAAGAAGAATAGGTAGGATGCAAGTTTATGAACTGTAAGAGGAGGGGTTGAGTTATACCCCAGTGCCTTAACTTCTTAATGTAAAATGTCTGGCGGGATATTCTACTGGATATCGCTGAGACATGGGAAGACCAGGAGAGATCAGAAGAGAAAATAAGTCCAAGATACTTAATTTCTGATTTAATTCCTATATCATTGTCGTCAATCTTACAACTGTCATGAGAATTGACGGCTTCTTTTAACTGTCTTTTACATCTTAAGCTGAAATTAACAGTTTGACATTTAGAAGGATTCAGTTTAAGACCGTTAGACTCAGACCATTTACTGACTCCCGACAGAAAGCTATTTATTTTGGTGCAATCTGGCTGGTAGTTAACAGCCATTGAAACTGTTAAATCATCAGCGTACTTCACAAAGTTTATTTCATCAGAGTGAGGCAAGTCATGTAAGGAGAAAGAAAAAGGAGAAGGAGAAAGGACAGCGCCTTGAGGGACATCAGCTTCAGTAGGTGATGAAGTGGAAGACTTCCCTTTATACACGGTGTACTGCTTTCTTTCTGAGAAATTGGAATGTAACCAGTTAACAGCTCAACATTCTTTTTGACTTGCAGCAAGTTTACTCAATAAGATGCCCCTATAGACCGAGTCGAAAGCAGATGTATAGTCTAAGAAGGCAAAACGAACAAATTTAGCCCCCTTGTCTGGACTGGAAGTAATGGTATGATGTATGACGGCAGCTGCACCTTAAGTCCTTCTACCGTGCTTCTCGGCAAATTGTTTTGGTTCATTAAAGGATTTAAGCGAAGGTACAAGACAAAGCAAAGGTAATTTCTCTATATTTTTCAAGAAAGGAGAGGCAATAGCAATGTATCTAAATTTGACACATGCTCCAGTAGATGATTTAGGTATAGGTACTTTTTTAATTTCCTTCCAAACAGCAGGCAAAATATTATAGGAAAAAGATTTCTTAAATATATCAGTGAGAGGGTGACACAGAATATCAGAACATTTTTTGAAAATAATACTAGGTACATAATCTGGACCTAAGCTCTGGGAAGGGTTCAGAGACTTGAAGCACTTTTGAACACCATTTGTGTTAAAACCTGGAAAGGGGCTATAATCAACACTAGTGATGCTGGGAAGCAGACTTTGTGTGGCTAGTTCTATATCTAATTTCAATTCAGACTGATTTTATTTATCTGATTTCGTGATTATATTCATTTTACAGAAAAACACTAAATTGAGTCTGAAGTACACAGTGAAGTCTGCGTGAATCTTAGGTTATGACGACTCTAGTATAATGTTTGTGTTTGAAAATTACCATCTTAAGAATAAGGGCGTGTGTTTAGACTTGACGTCCTAGACGTGAACTAGAATGTAATTTTGCACAATGTGTATTCCCATTTAAAAGGCTGAGAATATTTTCTTCATCTTCCTCAACACACACAAGTGTCGTACATTGCTTGAAGTATTTCAGTGAGACAAAGCAATCACCCAGTTTAACACCTAAACCACCAGTTGTATTTTTTACGCCGATTCCATTACAGTTTCAAAGTCATTTAATACATCACAAAGCTTCATGTATTTCTTTAGAAATTCGAATATCTTTTATGTATACGGTTTCCTTGAGATTTCTTGCACAAATATTGCGTAAAGATACTTTTCATCTTTCAAATACGACAAGAACGCTGAAGTCACTGGACCACGAATTCGATGTTCTTGATTACATCTAGTTGTAGCACTAGGATGAAAGTCATATTTTACTGAGAGGCCACTGAACTTTATCAATGTTCGAAACTTATTTTAGATATTATTCTTAATTTACGTAATCCTTTCAAGATTGTTTTCAAACAGATCTCATCACAATTGCGCTAAGTCACTGATAGTGACGCTACAATAGACAACACAACGGTGGAGGAAACCAACTGGATGACTTTGTCATTATAAGCCTCATCCAAGTTTTAGTACACTAAATAAGACCTCGTAGACTTCGGCTATACCTTATGGTAATAATAAAATTTTTTGAAGAGAAGATCATTATTGAGCAGGAATGAATATGAAGGAAAGTGATTTTGAATATAAACACAGTCATGGCATTAATTGTTTAACCATTCTAACACGTATCATTTCAATCTAACAAAATACTTTTCATAAAAAATAATCACTTAAAACTGTTTATTTAACACGAGAATATAACTGTGAGTCTGAAGATTAAGGCGTAATTTATTTTGTGATTAAACTAACACAACATAAATTAGAATACAAAGCGCGTATTGCTATCTTTCCCCCTATCTGTATCTCTCTATCACTTTGAAGTTAGTTTCAAAGTACACACATATTTCAGTAAAAAAACAACCTATACGACTATTTGTTTTCGAAATGAAACACATTTTTTAAGCCTACTTGACATTTGTACATGAATAGTCACTTCAATAAATAATAAAGTGGCACAGATTAATAACTAATACCACACGATTTTTCGTTAACATTTTTCACAAAACTATCGTTTCAAAATGAGTTATTTCAAATGAGTTAGCTTAAATCTCATTGAAGCTGTGAATTCACTTTGCAGGTTGTAAAAACGAGATGGAAATTACATGGCATTCAGCATTCAATAGAAACTCCTCAATCTCACCTGAGAACACTTGTGCAAGCACTCCCACCATTCGTCACCCTTACAGGAGGATCTCTTTGGAACAATGTTCTAGAGTAGGAGATACCAGTGTTAAGAGACTGGTCATCAGACGGCATTTGGACACTGCACGCCCAGATTGATGGCTAGACATTCCTTGTGTCAGTAACGAGGCGCATAAGCATAGTAGCTGACACAATTTTGAAGGGAATTCGTCTATACAGAAACCTTCAACCAGATCCGATCGATGCTAGTCGTTCCCAACGTCTAAAGGGCACAATAACAATTTTGACATTTGTTCCTTGACTTATGTTCATATTAATGATGTTTCACAAAAGTTGCTCTTCAACTGAAATTACTTGTAATTTTTAGTCAGCTTAATTGATCATTAAACTGTAGCAGAGAACTTGGCTAACTGAAATCAGGTTGACTCGACAGGGCAGAAATGTGAGAAGGAGATTCCATTTTATTCTTCCTTTAGTGTAAAACAACTGACTCAGTAGCGAAATACAACACTGCTTAGTCACTTATCGATCGTCTAATTGATAAATACACTCGGTCGTTCCACTTGAAGAAGACGAATAGGGAAAATGAAAACGACTATTCTCAATACATTTAACATGAAAGGCGCCAGTTTCCAGACGCCAACAGTATTGCACATGAAGTGAGGGTTATTTGCACGTCCATTATTTATACAGGCATATATGTTGTGTTACTTTTAGACTTATATGTACGATGAAAGCAGAGCGTAATTCATTTAGAAATGAATTTATGCAATTTTCCTTTCACAAGTACATTTTCTAAGTGAAACAAAGACATGGGATTTTGAAAGTGTGCATTATATGAACTGACAAGACAAAAGGGATGGATTGGTGTCCAATTATATAAACGTTTCCTGATCAGTAGGCCTGTTTCCACCAATAATATTATTGATAGACATGAATGACTCTACATTTTTTCTTTCCTTCACGTTCCCCAATGGAACAGAGGGCTTCAAGCAAGTGGCTTGAAGTTTCTGTAGCAGTGTTTATTTTACAGGATGGAGTCGCTAGCCTCATGCCCAACCTTTCCTCTTTACCAGCTTTATTTCTGGCTTCGCGAGTTAAAGGAGTGCGTCGGCCGGGGCTCGAACACCGGACCATGTGCATGGTCGGCAAGCGTCCTAACCGCTATGCCATCGACGCATGACTCTACATAGCCTACTCGAATATCAGTGACTGATTAAACTTGAGAGTCTTTATTCATGTTAATTGTTCAACAGTGAGTCAAACCGATAAAGATTTTATGCACTTCATCTAGTGGAGATTTTGCCAACTTTCAACTTTTTGAAGTCAATTAGATTGAAGCAAACAACATTTAATGAAGTGTTAATTGGTGTTTGTCTATGGTGAATTTGTATTGAATGTTTTCAAATTATCAAGTATTGATTTCGCAGGAATTTTACTTTGATTGATTGGACGATTTTATGATGAGCTGACAACGGTCATAGAACCACTGGAAAACAATGGGAAGAACTAGACAGCTGTTTCATTAGCCTAATTCGGAACTCTGAATCAGTAAGCAACCACGGATAGGGTTCGAACCAAGGACCTTCTGGTTACAGGGCTAGCGGGCTCGTGCACCATGACGTCACTGGAACCCGATCCAATGGCCAGCCAGTCAGTGAATTCTTACTTCTGCCAATTCATGACATAGCGCGAACACTCCACAATGTCTTGTTCGATGAGTTACTGCCTCACCTTCAACCTGCTGCATTCTACCGGTCACGGCTTCCCACAAGAACTTCAAGTCAACTGGCTGA